ACGATTCCACAGCGCCCTGATCCTGTGTGTGTGTGTCAATGCGGGAAGGTGAGTATGCGAGTCTGTATGTTTGTTCGGGAGATTACTGTATGAGTCTGGTCTTTCACACTCATGAGATTTGAGAATGATTTCAGTATTCGCACAAGTCCAACGGGTATTTTGTATATTAAGAATCGGCATCTGAAGTCAACATACATGAATTTCCTCCTCGGACTCATTGAGACGCTGTGCCAGTCTCCTCAAGAGCTCACTGATGATGATCTGGATGAAGCATCTGTTGCAGTGTTGTACGTGGCAAAGCGAGGGCTTAAAGTGGATTGGTTGGAGGCTAAAATTAATCTTAAATAAAAAAATATACTATTTCAGGTTAAAATTTTCTAAGAAAATAATAATGAGACAGAGATGGCCAGATGGGCAATAATCTTAAACTTCTTACCTGTGATGGAAAAATTTGAAACCCATTGACATCAACAGTTTCATTCAGTTGTTCAGTCTTGTTGACTAAATCACTAGACGCATTCAGCTTCATCTTTTCCTCTGATACATCGAACTCTCCAATAACTTCAAGAACATCAACCTCAGCAACAATCTTGACTTCACATTTGCAAGAAACCAACCATCTTTGGCATGAAGTTCGATAAGGTGAAGCATTTCAGAGAATCCCCAGCCGCGAGTTTTTTTTTTTTTTTTATCAAACCACTCTTGTGCTTCTGTAAAAATCATGGAAACATAGAGCTGATCTAGTCAAAACAAGCATTGCACAACACGTAAATAGAATTTCGCAGCAGCACAAGTACTCCAATGAGTCCAAGGACAAGTAAAAAAATCATTAAAATCTGAACTTTGCTTTGTCTGCCATATAAATATAATCATAATCAGACCTTCTACTATGGAGCGCTCTTCAGAAAGCTGGTTTACAACATTTCAGCGGAATTTTGTGCGTCTTATCCATCCAGAAGGCAAAGATTTATAATCAGCGATTTCCCGATACAGAGACACACAGTTATTACCGTTTTTTCCTTTGGGATAGGCCACAAGAAGCCTGCAAGCAAAAACAGTTGGAAATGTAAACCTAAATTGGAATAAAACACTAGAATTTAGAGCAGAACAAGTTTTTGTTTTCTTACTATTTGCAGTGACCCACGAACCACTACAAGAAAACATATCGATTTCTGACCATTAAAATAGTCATAAATTGGTCAAAAACACATGTTTTCGACTATATTTTGACTAAATACAGTTGTCGGTCGGAAAATCTAATTTCGATTAAATTTGGTAAAAATAACTTTGGTCAAAAGGTTTGACCAGATTTTTTGGTAGAAAATCTTTGACAAAATAAAATAATTCAAATTTTTTTTACCAAGTTTATTGGTCTATATATCGGTCTAAATTTATGACAAAATATTTGGTTGAAAATTTTGACAAGTAAAGTTTGACCAATAAACATGGTCAACATAATTGAGCCAGAGTTAAATTTTGTTACTTATTTCAGACTATTACTTTTCAATTTTTGACCAAAAAATTAAAATAAAAAATCACGAAAATACAATAGAAATAGAAAATAGCTCTAAATTTTAGAAAATTTGATTTTAAATTAAATTACTTGAGCTAATATAGATATCCAAAGCTGTTACAAAAAAATAAAACAACATAACCAAAAACACATGAAAACATACACTACTCATTACCAGGGCGACCCAATTTAATTGTTTGCCTAAAGCAAAAATAAAAATGTATGAGCCCATTAAAGAAAAAATAAAATACATGTTGGTATGCCTTGAATCCTGAAGCGCAGAAGCTTTTTGGAGGATTCAAGTCAAGGTGGAGATTTATTAGTATGCATTGAATCTTGAAACGTAGAAACTTCCTGACGTTGATGCGTGTAGATACATGCAGGCTGCACAATCAAGTATGCAAGATACTTGCAGTATGTTAAACCTTACATGCTGCATCTTGAGGTTGCGGGTGTAAGTTTACACGCTGCACGTTGAAGCTAATGTTGAATGCAACGTTCTGAATCCTGAAGCTGATGTTAAGATCTACATGCTGTGTAAGTTGATGTCGAAAACTACAACCTGCGTGAGCAATGTAGAAGTCTGCGCGCACTTGGGCCGCAGTTTGTGCATGAAGGTTCCTTACAACCTGCGTGAGCAATGTAGAAGTCTGCGCGCACTTGGGCCGCAGTTTGTGCATGAAGGTTCCTACATGGACCTAAATAAGTGAGCCCAATTGCAGTTAGGATTAACTAGGGTTTCTACTATAAGTATCTATGTTACCCTAATTTTCTAATCGATGTATTCTGAAAACTTTCTGTCTCCGTGATAAATTCAGTCTCCTTTGCCTGTGGACATAGCCAACACATCGTTGGTGAACCATATTAATTCTGTATGCAATCTTTACGTTTACTGCTTTCTTCTTGCATCCGTTATAACAATACAAAACATGCAATGTTATACTCGAACTTGAGATTGTACACTGAAAAAAGAGCCAAAACCACTGAACTCCTACCAATTTAAAAAATTTGATGCCCTTAAAAATATTTATACCTTTTAGTGCCCTAAAGCCCTAGCTTCACCAGCTTTAAGTCAAGGGCTCATCACCATCAGAATCATCATCGGATTGAGTATCATCAGATTGAGTAGCTAAATCTGGAAATTGCTTAAGTAATAAACTCCAAAAAAACTTGAAATTTTTTGCCTGTTTAGCTTGCGATGTTGCCTGCTTAGCCTGAGACTTCTCCATCTCAGCAATTTTTTTTTTTTTGCAGTTTGCAACTCTTCCTTCAGTTCTGGTGTAGAAGTATCAGAAGAAGAATAAACTCCAAACTCTTGAAGAGAACCGAGACCAAAACGAATTCCTTTAACAAGTGGAACCTCCTACAAAAAAAAAACCAGTAAATCAAATATGCTAAACAAAACACATGAACTTTAACAATAACACAAAGAGAGAGAGGAGTCGAGTTGTTGTATTATAATTTATTCATCATGTACCAAAAGCAATCACAAATGTGTTGCACAATAACTTTGTAAGCTCTTCGTAATATCAATGCATTAGAAGTTACAAACAAAAAAGCAAAGAGAATTAGCCTTATCAATCCGAGATGTTAGATAAGAAATGTAGTAGTTACCTTTAAAACAGTGATTTCATTTCGGGTTGAGAGAGATGATCGAGACCCTACTGCTCCATCTTGTGTTTCTTGCGAAAGTATGTTCTGTTCTGTTTCTAACAATGTCTCCACAATTCCCTCAACCTTTTTATCAAATATATTTGACCAAATATAAACCATATTTTGTGGTTGAAAAGTTTCAACTAATTCTTGGACAGATTTTGGTTGAAAATCCGATAAAAATATTTCGACCAAAAATGTTGGTCAGGTTTAGCCTTGTTTTCTTGTAGATAAACTTTTTTATGTGTCAAGCAGCATTTGTAAGAATAATTTGGCGTAGCTATAAAGTTAAAAAAGTATGTAATTTATTTTCCCATGCAATAGGCAAATTTATATTACAGAAATAGTCTTGCAGTGTTTGATATAACAAAATAGTATTACAAATTTACAAGTGATAGGTTGATATGCATTTAATTAATTCAATTTTTATTATATTTTATATTACCGGTTATCTTAGAGTATGTGCAACGGAGAGATCTATTTAAATTTCTTGTTTGTTTTTTTATAATATTAACTTTATAGGAAGAGAAGATCGAGAGAAGAGAAACGAATTCACAATATATAAAAAATAAAATGCGATGCTTGTCCGTTGGAAAGAGGAAAGAAAAATGAAAAACCTGTAAAATATTGACACATGTCCTCTAAGAGATGTTTCTTATGTCCTTTAATTATGAGACGTTTCTTAGTTTAAACTATTTAATATTTAATTTTATTAAAAAGGAATTTAAGAGACTGGGTTAAAGACCTCATTGCACATGCTCTTATAGATACAATATAAGAAAAAAAAAATAGACAAACTATAGTTTCAATTGGAACTTGATACTAGCACTTTTTTTTGTTTATTTTTCTTGTTTCTAAAAGATTGATTTTATAGATTACATTTGATGCATTTCAGTTTACAAAATTAATTAGAAAAATGTTGGGCAAAGAAATTGAAAAATCAAGTTTCACATAAATTAACTTGGCCATTTTTTTATAGACTCTGGAAGATACTTGATACTCATCATTTCATCTTATGTGTTTCTTGTATCAATCTTTTTCTCTCTCTAAAACTTGAATGGAACTTTAAATAATTTGAAAAAAAAATCTATTAGTAAGTGAGTATTTAATGTTTTTTTAATATGTGTGAAAACCCCAAAAATAAATCTATTAGGAACATTGAGTATATTGAGTATATAATTGTAGAGTCGACAAAGGAGTTGTGTGTTTCGTGAAGAAATTTCTTTCAGCTACATTTATCAAGAAATCTGAAATGACGAGCAGAGATGCGTACAGCTTCGACACAAGCGTGACTTGATTCAAAGTCTACAAAATGTCCTACGAATAATAAATGTCCTCGACCTACTCTAGATATCATGCAAGAGACCCGAAACATCTGCCATTATCATAAACCAGTTTTACTCCATTTTAAATACTCCATTTTAAATTTTCCAAAAGGCTAGTCTTGTTCACAACTCTGTTCAGACATAAAGAGTTTACTTTCCCATCAAGTAACATATTCCAGTTTTCATGAAAGGGTTTTTTTACCTATCAACCACACTCTGTTCAGACACAACAAATTTACTTTGTCATCAAGTTACTTAGCTTTAAACCATTTGTTTAATGAAACTAAAAGACTCTGTTCTTTAACCCAAAAAAAAAACAAAAACATCTTTACAAATACTACGCAAATAGCTTGGGACCCAAGACACAACTATGACAGCAACTAACCAAGCACATAATTAAACTAAAAAAATTAAGCACAACACAAGAACATCAAAAAACATCATCAAACGAGATAGCTACATTAGCAGCCGAAACATCTGCTTTCTCCTTCTCCATAAGAGCTTTCAAGTCTAAACATTTCTGATTATATTTCTGCATCTCATCCTCCATCTGTTGAAGCCTAGACTGACCAGTTTCCACTTGCTTCTTCTTTTCCTTTAATTGCTCGAGCTTCTTCTCCAACCAATCCACTTCAAAACCTCCCTTTTTCACGATTGATATTGCAACAGATGCCTCATGCAGATCATCATCAGAGAGCTCCAGAGGCTGTTGTTGGCACAGCGTCTCAATTATTCCGAGGAGGAGATTCATGTATGCTGACTTCAGATACCGATTCTCATAATGAAACTTGGATGCAAAGTCTGGGTATTTTTCAAATATACGCTTCACAAATTGTACCTGTACGAATGGTTAAAAGAATTATTAACCATATATTCTCTATTCAGGTTTGAGTTTTTATATAAATAAGACCCTAATCAAGTAAAAATCTCAAGTTCCTTACCTGTGAAGGATGAACTTGAAGCCCCTTGACACTAACGCTCACGTTTTGTCGATTCTTGTTGAGTAAAGAATTAGTTTTGCTCAATAGTTTAGAATCCTCTAATTCACCTGATGTGCCAATAACTTCATGAGCAACCACCTCAAGAACAATCTTTAGTTCTCCATTTACCAAAAATCCGCCATCTTTTGCAAGAAGTTTTGAAGGAGGGAGTACGGTTGGATAACGACGCGAGGGAGTCTTCTCATCAAAGTAAAGCTCTGAATCTGTAGCATCTCAAGATACATTGCATACCATTAATGGAGTAATTAAATCTTACATTAATTATTCTCTTGAGATTAAACATCGATGTTCACAGCTTGGCAAGAAACTTTAAACCTAATCTAAACCAGTCACTCAAATCAAACATCTTAGAGAAACATACAAGTTATGCAAAGTGCATTAATAGAATGTAGCAGCAGCACAAGTCCCACAACAAAAAGAATCACAAAATAAAACTTTCTTTTGTTTAAATAGTTAGATGGGGGTGAAAAACAATGATGTGTACTGACACTGAAAAACTATTTGTAATCATTCACCAAAATGAATCAAAGAGAGAGAGCAGACTGTAGATAGAATCACCTGTCACTATAGAGAGTTTTTCAGATACTCGATTAACTGTAATTAAGCTAAGTTTTACATGTCTTCTCCATCTACAAGGCAATGACTGAGAATCTGCTACACCCTGATACTGATAGAAGAACTCAAGGTTCTCTCCCTTAGGCCAGGCAGTAAGATGCCTGCAGAAAAAAAAAAGCAAAAAATTGAGTCACCACTACTGCATAAATGTGTAAGAACTTTGAACTCTCAATATGTTTAAGGATCAGACAACACAGATTTTACACTGTTTTCTCTATCTTTCTCTTTCTTCTTTAACACTCAGTGTATTTTCTTTCTGGATTACTAAATTCTTTGTGAATGAAAACCACACACTTTTCTTAGATAAACAACCAGTATTTATAGTTACATAACACACTTTGACCAAGGGACATGTCTCTAGAAAACACCCCATTATAAAGACACATATTGACTAAGGGACATGTCTTTAGAAGACACCCCACTGAAAAGATACATACATACATTTGTAAATGCTTTGCAGTTACCAAATCTATTCGCACATTTTCGAATAGTTTGACATAAAACAATTACTTAATTATATAATATATGACTTATAAAATAATAAAATATGATGAAGATTTGATCACATCCAACAAAATGAACTTAAATACACATTAAAAAAACAAAGGTTCAGTTTTTACCATTTACATCCAGCAATCAGAAATTGATCAGAAACTGATAAAGAGGTGGGATTCTTTATCACCCAGGTGAAGTTTTTTTCAACTTGCTTCGCCATTGATATGATGATGAATGATGGTTATAACTCGCAATTGCTCTACACGAACCAAGAATATAATTAAAACACTAGAATAAGATAGGGTAAACAACCACTTAAGTTTATAAACCTACCAATCAAACACACACCCCTCAGCAAGTCTGTTTAACTTAGATTCCACTAAAAACCTTTCGAACTAACGCTTTAGACTAGTTAATTAGCGTACTAGATATTTAGAGAACGACGAGATCGATCTAAATCGAGCAACTGAGATTATGAAAATCACCAAGAAAGATCTGGAAGATTATATAGAAATATTATATCTAAATATATTATTTACATTTATGTTTATCTTAATTTAGAAATTGAGAAAAGGAACCAGATCTAAGAGATTAAAGCAGCGATATCTTTTTAGATTTTTTTTTCCTTAATCTAAAATATATTTTTCTTTTATTTGTTATGATTAGGAACCAATTATAAAATTTCTTTTACGTATCAGTTATATATTTTTTTAATAAAATTTGTTAAAAATATATTTAGAAATTCATAAAACTCATGTCAAAATCTTATCAATTCACTTACATGTGTCATGACCTGGTGAGCTAGTTACTAATTTTGAATCATTCTCTTTTATATAATAAAACTAGTTAATTTGCACACGTCTCGCGTGAGCTATATATATCTATCAAGTGTAGTTTTATAAATAAAAAATTTTAAGAACATTAAAAAAAATTATCTCTGTTCTAAGTTAGACAAATCCAAAATTTACAAATAAGCTTTTGATTTTAACAAAAGGGTAAAAAAATATTTCTGAAATATATAGATAAGAAATCAAAAATCCTAATCATATCTAGATATCATAATTAATGATATTTCATTAGACATATAGATTTTATTTACTATTTTTTGTTACTTTTTTCTTAGATTTTTACGATATTTTTGTTTTATAAAATTATAGAAATCAAAAACCCTATAAATATAAGAAATCGTAAACATTATAATAATTAGCGATATTCTAGCACAAATTTCATTTTTTTGTTTTGAAATGATATTCTAAATTTTATTCCAATTTTTGTTTCTTTTAATATTTTCGTTGGATTTTTTTCTAAATTTCAGAAACATAAAAAATGGTAAATATCTAGTTTTTTGTGTTTTTAAAAAAAATGTTTTTGTCTAATTTTTTCTAAATTTTGGTTTAATGTAAATTTAAAAATAGTTTGATTGACTACGGAATTAAGCATTAAAGCATAATTTTAGACAGGTTTATTTTTTGTGTTTTTTTAAAAAAAAAATGTTTTTGTTTATTTTTTTCTAAATTTTGGTTTAAGATAAATTTAAAAACATTGGAAATATGGCTTATACTTATACTAAACCATAAGAAATTGATGTCTAGATTTTAGTTAGAACTTTTAATTATTTTGAAGACATTAGAAATGGTAAAATTTTTTTTTTTTAATAAAAATGTTTTTAGTTTTTTTTCCTAAATTTTGGTTTAATCATATTTTTAAAACGGTTTGATTGAGTACGGAATTAAGTATTAAACCATAATAATTTAGACCGGTTTATTTTAAATTATTTTTGACACGTCATCAAATGAGAACCAATAAAAGAATGACATGTAATTATAAAATATGGTTAAAATGTATTTTTGCGGCCGAAACTCATTTTAGAGCTGACACGTAAGCGGGAAGCGGTGAAACTTACTGTAAACGCGACAATAAGCACTACACAAATAAGTATATAGATAAGATAAAAAAGTCAATAAAATATATGGAAACAGAGTTTCGGATAAAGCAAAGAGGAAAATTCTTAATCACCCAAGTGAACTTTTCATCAGCTAAACATAAACCAAGAAAAATACAGTCTCGAAAAGACTCTACTATCACTGAATTCAAACCCTTCAGAGAGACCTGAAGAGGAGTTAGACCCTAGTACTCAAGTGGGAAACACACAAACACACCAAAATATAGATTAAGGATTAACTATACCTGACAAGAAAAAAACGATTTAGGGTTTGTTATGGAGAGTCACATAAAGAGGCAGGATAGGACTAATTAATTATTGATTCTCTATGTGTAAACAATATTTGTTTGTTTCTTTTATTTTGTTCTCTCGTCCATTTTTATCGTGGAGGATTATGGTAGAAACTAAGGCAATCAAATATCATGGTTGGCCCGTTCCCTCGCAAAATTATTGGGAAACATGTGAAACCACACAAAAATAATAGGACATATAGTATTAGATATAGTGCACAGAATACAGATTGTCAAAGATGATTCACTCGTGACTTAACATGACGATCATACATAAGTTATATACAATTAAATTTTTTTTTTATATATAACGTATAACAAATGAAAATTGCTGGATCATGTGAGCACTGCCCACATGTCTAAACCAGTGGTTGGGTTAAAGAGTTGTGATCACGTTCCATCAAAGCAAGGATACCGACGGCTGCTAAAACGAAAAAAGCCCAATACATCAGTAATACCGCAAGGGTCCAATAAAGGAAACACTGCATGGGATTTGAGGGAAAGATGTAGAGGGAGAGGAAACAAGATCCCATAAAATGAGCAAAATGCCCTGATTTAGTGACGATCATCGGCTCGTCGTAATCAAACCATCTAAGTCCAACTTCTATTAGGCTTAGCATAACGTAAGACACGATGATGTGGACACACAGATCGCTGAGCAGGTCGAGATCAAACCCATTATTTTTATAGAAAATCTGAAAAATCAGCCACGCATATGCGGTGATGATCACACAATGCATCACTATCGAGTAGACAACTCCCGAGGTCATCCTGCAAAATCAATTTTTTTTAAGTTAACGACACTTTAGATTGCTTTTCTAATTAACAATATAACAATGGGATTAATGTGCTAATAGAGTAACACACAAAGACACTTTTCCAAGTATACGTTTCCAAATGCCTTTTCGGGTATCTTCCATCTACAACACAAATATATATATGCATGAGACTTTCAAAGATTAGCAAATTTAAATGTCTAAGGGGGTGTTATTGGTTCTATATGTTGAAATCAACTCCATTTGATTAGAATAGATTAGATTTTAATTTTTTTTTATTAATTTAGAATCTATTGTATATGAGTTTTTTAAAATTTTAAATTTACTTAGCAGTGTATTTAGAAAGTCAGATGATATCATTTAAAATCTAATAGAATAGACTTCTCAAAAAATTAGATTTAAAAAGATCAAAGAAAAAAAACAACCTAAAAAGCACATAGGTAAGAAAAAAAATCAAATAAAAAAAGCAGCATAAAAAGAAAATGAGACCTAAAAAAAATAAAGTAACATTCACTCTATATTGGTTTGAATCAGAGTCGTGCCTGAGATTTCTCTAACTACAAGCGAGAAGAAAAAATTGGCCCCTTAAAACTTTTCTTAATGCAGTTTAGCCCACAAATAATTGGCAAAAAGAAGAAGAAAATGACAAATATGCGCTTGGAAAGAATCGAACCCAGTCAAACCTCTAACCAAACATGCTTTTACCTATTCACAAACTATTTGGACTAACTCAAACTCTAGAAAATTGGCCCTAAAAAAATATTTAACTTCTTCGGCCCTGAAGCACATGCTTCATTAGTCTGTGCTCAGGCACGGCTCTGGTTTGAATCCACCCTAACCTTTCTTCCACTGAGATGGATTATAGAGAAATGGACAAGGGAAAAAAAGAAAGGTGTGAGGAGAGAAAAGAAAAATATGGAGGAAAGAGAGAGTGATGTAACGAAGGTTAATACCTATTTGAATTGAATTTTATAATTATCTAAATCTGAGGGTAAAATGTTAGATTTTAATTGCTACATTTAATGTTGGATAATTCCTAACTTGTTTAGGAAGTTATCTCTTTAGAAAGTTGTTTAAAGAGATAAACATAAGGATTTATTTAATAAGGTTTTAGATATAGTTTAATATCTAGATAAGGTTTTATATTTCTTTTATCATATAGAATTAGAAGAAGTTAATATCTATATAAACAGAGTCTAAGGAGAGATGTTCCTTAAGACTAAGAAAGAGAGATTTAGTTTTGAGAAGTTTCTAAATCAATAAAGAAGAGAAGTTCTTTATATCTAAGTTCTTAGTACATTAAAACTTGAATTGGTATCAGAGCAAGATCAGAGGAGACCTGTGTGTGTGAGTTCATAAGGCCAAGATGGGAGACGTAACTCAAGCAACGCAACGGACAAAGGAGCTCGGAGCTCCGTCAATTAAATGTCCAATGCTATCGACCACTAATTACACTGTGTGGGCGATGAGGATGAAGATCTTACTTCGTGTAAGCGAAGTATGGGATACGATCGAGCCAGGGACTGACGATCCAAAGAGGAATGATGTGGCGACAGCCCTGCTCTTTCAATCTATCCCCGAGTCACTTATTCTGCAAGTCGGAGAGCAAGATTCCGCAAAGAAGTTGTGGGATGCAATCAAAGCGCGTCATCAGGGAGCAGACCGTGTGAAAGAAGCTAGATTGCAAACCCTTGTAGCAGAGTTAGACTGATTAAAGATGAGTGACTCAGACACGGTTGATGAGTTTGCAAGCAAGATATCAGGGATTGCAGCTCAATCAGCCTCGTTAGGAGAAACAATCGAGGAGACTAAGCTGGTTAAGAAGTTCTTAACAAGTCTTCCTCCACACAAATACATTCACATCGTAGCTTCCCTGGAGCAAGTTCTAGACCTCAAAACAACGGGCTTTGAGGACATAGTCGGACGCATAAAGGCATACGAAGATCGAGTAGGAGGAGAGACTCGAAACGAAGACCAGGGAAAGCTGCTGTACGGAAACTCAAGCAGAGGTGGTGGAGCTAGGGGGAGAGGAAACAGAGGCGGAAGAGGCAGAGGGAGTAACAGTTCTGGTAGAGGCAGAGGTCGAGGAAGGACTAGTGAGCAGAACCAGAGTGAAACCAAAGAGCAAAACCAGAAGCCTAAGAAAGATCTCTCCAAGATAATCTGCTGGAGATGTGATAAAACAGGACACTACGCAACACAATGTCCTGAA